ACTTACAGTCACAACAAAACACTGACACTACACAGAGACACTACACAGAGACACGACACACAAACACAACAAACACCAGCAGAGAGCGAGAAAGAGAGATAGATAGATAGAGAGAGAGAGAGAGAGAGAGAGAGAGAGAGAGAGAGATCACGCCGCTCTTACCTTTCTCTCACAACTGCCACTCGTGTATAGCTGTATACCGCACAAACACAGTCTGTAAAGTGACTAAACTAAACACATCTCACAATGTTTTACAAATCACAATACACTACTCTGACAACTGACTTCCAGTTTGTAACGTAAATAGCAAACTGATGTCATCCACAATAATCGTCGCTTTATTAAATGCGGGCTATGTACACATACAGCTGTTTTTATTTCACGTTAAACGTAAATTGCCAGATTGTCTGAAAACAGCAAGCTCTGTCCGCGAACAGCAGTAATGTGTGGGAGTTCAGAAACTATAATGCAATGGGGATTTTAATGCAAGCGTCGCGGATTGGCACTGGTATTTCACGCTGGGAAGAAAATGAACACAGTGCTGATAAACATTCCTTTTCAATAAGGCAAATGAGATTAACCCTGTCTCTCTGTCTGTCTACCTACATACCTACCTGTCTACCTACCTGTCTACCTACCTATCTACCTGTCTACCCACATACTTGTCTACCTACTTATCCATCAATCCATCAATCTGCTGTCTGTCTAAGAGAGAGACAATTGGGGGGGGGGGGGGGGGGGGGGGGGGGGGGGGGGGAAACGAACGAATTTTTTTTTTTCTTCTGAAAGTGTCAAAAATTGGGCATGTTTTACATTCGGCCCTTTTAAACTCCTATCTTTCACACAGCAGCTGTATGTTATCAGTAACGCATGTTATGTTCATATAAAAATATGCATATTATGAATATAATAAAGAAGAAAAAAAAACACAAAAGCATGGGTGGTAAAATGCATGCACACACTTGTGCGCTCGTGCGCACACACACTCAAATATGCATATGCCCATTCACTCACTTACCCATACACACATACAAACCCACATACATACACACACACCCATACATAGACACACACATGCCACACACATATACACACATATACACACACATGCATACATACATAGACACACACATGCACACAGAGACACAGACACACACGCAGACACCCGCACGTAGACCCGCACGCACAGACACACTCATACACACCCACCTATACACACACATAGGTACACACAAACATAAACAAACATACACGCACACAGACACACAAACACACACAACAATAAAAAAAAACACACACACACGTTTGTGTATTGAGCTACCTACCTAACCCACACTGGACTACAGGCAGGGTGACGATAGAGATCGTTTTCACCGTGACATCACCCAGTTTTAGGTGTGCTCCCGCCGTTCCGTCGGTAACCCCAAAAAAAGTACCAATTGTCCTGTTGTTCTATTGACATTTCCAGGCCCACCTACACACCTTTTCTGTCTGGTCTAGGTCAAAGAGATGTCACGTTGTACTATTTTCTTCGAAAAGAGTCTCTTGTGACCTAGGCTCATGCTGCGGGTAAGGGGGTGGGAGTTTGGGTTCTAGATGTTCTGGGGTCGTTAAAAGCTGTGTCATCGTGTAGTACAGAACATGCGACACAGGCGCTGATGAAATTGGACCTATGCCTAGTTTCTTGCTGTGAACTATTACTGCATCAACTAAACACTGTAAATCTTCTTCATTGTCAGCAATAAACACCGTATAATCTGCATGTCTTATATTATTGATGTTACATCTTCCCACGTTAATTCCCTTTACGGTTTTCAGATGTCGCCTAATATTTTTACTTTGCCATGAGAAAAGATCTGGAGACATTACAGATCCTTGTGGCACACCTGTCTTAATTTGTTGGTACAGACCTATTTCCTTATCATTTTGTTATTTTGTTATAGCATGTTGTACCATTTACCATTTCTTCCTTCTTCTTCCTCTTCTTCTTCTTCTGTCTTCTAACCCTCAATGGAGCATAGGCCCTCAGACAACTCACGCCAAGTCGTTATATCTTTCGCTATAGCATTCAGCTCTCCACGTGTCCTCCCTTTATTTTTAACTTCACTCTCTATATCCCTTCTACATTTTTTTTAGCTTCCTCTATTTCGATGCCCCTGTGGGTTCCAACACCTGATGAACTAGTCACACAGGCAAGAGACATAATCATTACAACAGCGCAAAATATGATACCTAGAAAAGTATATAAGAAACAAGAATACATCACAGAAGAAACGTCGAGGTTAATTGAAGAAATGGGAAAATTGAAACAAACAATGACAGAAACCAGCAATACAATATATAAAAACCACATGAAGAAAGTGAGAAATGCGATCAGAGAAGACAAGAAGCAATTTGTAATCAAGACATGCAACCAAATAAAGCGCCTCCAGCAACAGAAAAGGGATAGAGAAATGTTTAAAGAGATCAGAACACTAAAAACTAAATTCAAACCTTCAGTGAATTTAATAAATGATAACAATGGCAACTCCTTGGCGGAGAGCAAAGAAATACTTGAAAGATGGAAGGAGTATAGTTGAGAAATGTTCAAAGATTCAAAAAAGATGCCAGACAGTGCCGAAGAAATCGAAGAAAAAAAGCCTGCGCCTCTATTAGAGGAGGTAAGAATAGCAATAAAGAACCTGAAATCCGGTAAATCTCCTGGATGTGACGACATACCAGCAGAGTTAATTCAGGCTGGAGGAGAAGCTAGGGCCATTCTATATCCTGCACTCTGTGTAAATCTGGAAAAGTGCTGACTGGCTCAAAGCGTGGAAAAGATCTGCTAAACATTGGATGTAATCAGATATGCAGACGACACTGTTCTTCTTTCCAAATGAATTCTGGCCGCCAAAAATCACAGCGACGAAGTGAATCTTTTCCTGAATTAAAAAAAAAACACACACCAACAATTATGTTCTCAGCAAATTCAGCACACCAGCCATGCATCACAATCGAAAAAGAAGAAATAAAAAATGTAAGATTTTGAATACTTGGGCTCTTTAGTGAACAACAATGGCGACTGCTCAAAAGAAGTCAGAAGAAGACTTGCATTAGCAATGCAGAGTTTAAACATCATGAAGAACCTATGGCAAAGCGCTAGTAATTTGGTTAAAGTAAAAATCTTGAGATCCTGCATTTTTCCTGTGGCAACTTACGGTTGCGAGTCCTGGACTCTTACTCAGTCACTGAGGAAAAAGACTGGATCAAGAAGAGGAAAAACATAGACATTCTAAACGAGTTGAACATCGGTGAGAACTGGCTTATAAACAGCCTCCTGTCTCGACAATTGAAGTATTTTGGCCGCATCAAGCGTCATGGTGGCTTGGAAAAAACGGTGATGGAGGGTGCAGTTTGTGGAAGGCTAGGCAGGGGTCGACTACCGCGAAGATGGATACAGGACATTGAAGAAGAATTGGTATTGAAAGCTCATGGGGCTGGAGAGCTGGCTAGGGAAAGGGATACTTTCATGCGTGCCGTGAAGAGAGCGACGTTCTATAAAGGACTTGCTGATTGATTGATTATGGGTTCCGGTGCAAAGACATTCTAGTTATATTGTTCTCAGGTTTCTTCAACGTGTGCCCTATCCAACGCCCTATCTGGAGTTAGTAGATCTATGTTAGTAGACTGAATCACTGTGTCGCAACATTATGTTTTATAAAAGTATATCACCAATGAGCAAAGTTTGGAAGCTATGTTGCAGAGGCTGTTCACTTCTATTGAGGAAAAGGGCGGGGGAGGGTGGGGGCGATCTGTCATCGATGCATCATTGATATTAACCCATATTCTACGGTGTTTACCCGTGTTTTTTTTTTTTTTTTATTCAAACATAGTAAAAGACCCTTTCACCGTCTTCAGGAGTATTGGCATATATGGCTAGACCTACATTTTCTAGACCAATCCACACTTGGTGATTGATGTGGTCAGCATCACACCGGCCGCCCTTAATTCCTAGTACTCCACTTGGTACACATTCAAGGCTCGTCAATCTGGAAGCTAAGGTCTTTTTTTAAGGGAGAAAAAAAAAAGTCCGGTACCGTTAGGACCTAAATCCACGACCTTCCGACTCGCAGACCAGCGTCTAGCCGCTACACCACGGCGACTCTCCTTTGAGTATTAGATAAATCAAAAAGAGATCAACAAGACCCTACCCCTTCCATACTCTACTCTTTATCAGTGATACTCTATGTATTGAGTCATTAGTGCCTTGTCTAATCCTAATGTCGCACACTCCAGATAAAAAACGCACAGTTGAACAACAGTCTATAAAAACCCAGAAACGTCTAGTTCGCTCCAAACACCCCCCCCCCCTCCCCACTTTTTTACACCCATACACACACTCTCACACATACTACACCCACGCATACACACACATTTCCTATAGATTAGCGCTGCCTAATTTTATGTTGGTTTTAACTGGTATGGTTAATGCAAAATTTCTTATGCTCTTTTAAATAAAGCACGTCATATTTCTGTCGCACTTTCCCCGCATAAATGTTGTGGCTAAATTTACGTATATCTTCTTGTTCTTCTTTCCTTCCCCGTCGACTTACTCCTCTCTCACCATCTTTCTTCTGCTGTGGTTTACAACTAAATTGTGATATGTGTGACTTTCGGCCAAACACATCCGATTATAGCAAACTCTTCATTTGTCGCCTTTCACGGCATGCTTGGTTGTAAAAGGTCAGTCACCGCCTCCCCTATTGGGACCACAGAATCCGCACATGTATATTAGAATATCAGTTTACATTTCATTTTTAAATTTCTACAATATTGTGAATACTGTTCTAAGATTATTAAAAATCTTATATTTTCCTTTGTTATACCCAACACAGCCATACAAATCTAGAAAGGATGTAATGAGTTAACTTTGATCGGCCAGATAGCCCGGTTGTAATTATTGCTCAAGAAACCCACAGCACAGACCGTCCCTGGCTAATGTGAGGCAGAAGTTGAATAACATGGCGGATAAAGCCGCCCGTAACATCGGGTCGGGTGAGCAACCGCTTCCCATGAAACTGTTTGCGACATGGGAGGTGGAGAAATCATCGCCGAACTGCATACCAAGGTGAGGTGATGTTGTTTTATTTTAACGCTGAGAGATAAATCGATATATTTTATGATCATAGCGGCAGTCATCTAATTGCCATTTTGATTGAATAGATAGTTTAATTAAAGTTTAAAAATAAATAAACTAAAATTCGCAACCAGATTTAAAAAAAAAAATTTTCAAAGGGATAAAGGAAACGACCCTTTCCCACGGCTTCAGAGAAAAGTAATTTGTGTGAATCATAAAATCAATCACTGCATATAAAAGAGAAGCAGTGATGTTTCTTCTCCTTTAGTGTTTTCTTTGTTTATCTTTTCCAATCATTCAGCATTGAAAGACCAAGCAACAACTTCAGGTAGCTACTGTAGCAGCAGCAGACGTGAGTCGTGATGGTCACCGTCTGCTGCTGTAGTTGTTGCCTGGCCTTCTAATAATCACTTAGTTCAGGTTATCACGTAAATGCATTTCCAACTTTATAGTAAACGGGTCACCCCATAGTAATTAGTTATTAAATTACTAGTTGCTCTGGTCATGTGCCAATGAAGACCACACAGTGTCTATTGTGGGGAAAACAATTGACACACACTGCAGTTGAGTGATCTCAGCAAAATAGCATACAAGCGTATACTACTACTAATAAATGCATAAGGTATAAGGCAGCTGTCAGAAGTGCCAGCATCCAGAAGTGCTAGCATCTAGACTGACACTAGAATTGCAGTTGTAATAGATCATTAGTCAGTAGTTCCGCACATGTTTCAATCAGATCAGGCACCACCCCCTTTGTGGCAACGGGCTACATACCATTTCCTGAATCTGCAGTTGGTCACATCACAGACCAAGTTGGGCACAGTTAAAAAGCATTCCTAATTTAATCTGCAGCTCACTGTGTCATTCCATGCACTCAACTCCAACTCAGTAGCTGAGCTTGAATAGAATTACTTCGTTTTCACAACTTAATATTATTTTAGCCTTTCTTTTACACAACGGTTCACATTCTCTTTTCTAGTCATTCTAGTTCTTTGATAATGACAACTGATCTTGCAGTTTTATTGACTTTCTAGTTAAGAAATAACATTAACAGTTTTTATGTTACAGACCATACCTAATAATACTGGATGACAATTTAACTAGCTATAAAACTACCAGCATTAAAAACACACTAGTTGATCAGCAAATGTCTGTTGCCATATTATTTTACTGCACACATCTGTTTATGTTGATGAGCGGGTACAGTCCATATTTAAAAAAAAACAATGATTGTTACCTGTAATACAGACTATCATAGTATACCTTAATTTAGTGTTAATGAAAACGTAACTTGTTAATAGTACACTATGTTTTTCTATTTCTTCACATTCACCAGCTGTAAACTCCAGCAGAAATTTATGGTTGTTCGTCCACTTCTGGACTCTAGCCCTGTTCTGGGAACTGAGTGTTGCGTGCTCATCCGTTTTACAGGTCTGACTCATTTGCATGCAGACGACTGGTTCCTTGCCTCTCAGGCAGATGTACTCCTACTTTGAAGGAAGCTCCCAAATTAGTCGACTCTTACAACATGCTTTTGGTTAGGCATTGGGTCTGTTCTTGTTTTCCCACACAATGGGGCCCCGGAATCCACACGTGGAACTGTGTTTTTTAAATGCTGGTGCTACTTCTTCTTCAATTGTTCTTATGCAGTTGTTACTTTGAAAATATAGAACTCTGTGAAGTAACGAGCAGAGAATCTCTAAACCTGTACTCAAATAGTCAATAAATAGATTAAGGAAGCAAGGATATTCTAAAGAAACCCTAAAATGAATGTTGATGAGAGACATCAAAGCTGCTGGACTGGATTCCATTCATCATATCCAAGGGATTGCACAGGATAGAATGGAATGAAGGAATAGACTGAGAGCCCTGTGGAACAAATAATTCCATAAAAGGACAATGATGAATGAGTTGTTACTGCGTCATTTTTTTTTTTCTATACTTTTGTGAGCCTGCCATGTAAAGATATTCAAAGAGAAAGACTGATTTAAAAAAAAAAAGACACAAAGAAGAAAGCTTATGAAATCTTTAGAGACAGACACATCATACATATACTACTCAGTAGAAAAAAAATTATGAAAACAGGCATGACTGCAGTCACGCTAATTCCTAGGAGGAAAGGGGAACATGTACACACACAAGTAAAATTAGAGGTTTTGGCCAGAGCCTTTCTTGATGAAAAAACCATAACAACAAGGGAGAGCAATATTTTATGATGGTGGCAGAGATGTCATCTCTGCCGTTTTGGTCATAATTTTTTTAATAGAACAAGACTGGTTGAGTGCCTTTTTTTTTTTTTTTTTCAATATCTAAGAGATGTTCATGGTACATCACTAGCTTCCTGCCGGATTCACGTGAATAACTTTAAAATGTAGGAAGAGGAAATGATTATGTGAAACGAATGTGGACTGGCAAATGAGCATGTAGCCTCTGAGCTACCGTGGCTTCCCTAAGTGCTGTAATCATATTTTAGTTTTTTTGCTATAGAGAGACATTGTGCTCAACAGATTGATGTATTATTCACAGTGCTTTGTGAATCTACAAAATACATTTATGTGCTATGTGTATATGTTATGTGTTAACAGATAGCGGATTACATGAAATACAAATTGATACACATTACTTTTTTTGTTTGAACAGCTGAGAGTATATTTAATGTTCACATTTGATTACTGCAATATCTTTACTTTCGTTTAATCTTTTCTCAGGCTGTGCAGTCTGACATTGACCAGGCTTATCGTGTTTCGGTCTTTGGAGAGTGAATTATCCTCCCTTTTGATTGCTGTCAAAGTACAGGTATGTGATCAGCCAGTCCAGAGGAAGCAACAAAACTCAGTGAAACCTGACATTCAGTCACATATGTTTTAATACTCTTAAGATTTTAATAATTCAGATTGATCTTTTCCCATTGTAAATTTAAATAATGTGGACACAGACAGTACATCAATAGGCGCAATGCTAGAGAGTTAAATCAACACACAGGAAAGTATTAAAAAATGAATCTTGTTTGTTGAAATGCAAAATTACATTGTCCTTGCTCTATATTTCATAATCATCATCATGTGCCCTGCCAACTGGCGCAGGCGCTCATGCGTCTCCACAGATCATGATCCCGGGTTGCCTGGAACAGCTAGTTCTCTTGATGATATCCCTCCAGGCCATCGTTTCAGCCCATCCAGCATCATCTCTTGGTCTGCCTATAACCCTTTTTCCACTGATCTTTTCAGTTGCCACGATGTACATCTATGCGCTGGAAATTCTAGATCAGTACTTTGATGTTCTGTCGGCTCTGTGGCTAAGTCGATGCGAATGCTTCGTAATGCCGGGATGCCGGATTCGATCCCAGCTGCGGGCCATGCGCCTTGCGTTGGTTTCAACAGTGGTATCGAGAAAGCCGACCATCCAGAAAGCAATGGCAAACTACTGGACGTAAATTTGCCTAGAAAAACCACACAACAGCCAGGGGCTGTTAGGATTGGTTCTGCAACGTCCTGTAAAGAATACGCAACTAACCTAACTTTGATATTCTACTTAATAACTCATAAGCATGAAATGGTCGATCATGCCCATTCTGTATAAATTAATCAGAATTATTTTGCCCTGGGTGAATGTTCATATCTGGTGGCTTTAGGTTGCACACACCCCTATATCCACCAGTTTTGACAGGGATAATGAGGTCATACCAAGGTTTAAATGTAAACATGTGTAAAGTTTCCAGAACATGATTATGTGGATTTTCATTGCGTTCTAAATATCCATTTTGTCTTCACAGTTCGATGTATGAGTTTCTGGGATCAATTGTTAGTAGAGGAGTGGGGAGGGATAGACTTACTGTCCCCTAACAAGCATGTTCGCCCGTGTGTCACCAGGGCCATCAACTGAAGCAAAGAATAGTGACACTGCACCCTACCATGCATGTCGTAAGAGGTGACTAAGGGTAGGGTTGGGCTTGAGGTTGGCTACCTCATCCTGTAAAAACCATAGCCACAAAAACCAACCAACCATGGATAAGTCAAAGAGAGAAGCAAATAAAATCCAGCCAACCAAGATGAGGGGAGGCTCTTCAAATAGAAGAAGTATGACACAGTGTGGAGAAAGCCGTAAGGAGTCCGGATCGTTGACGTACCTCCTCTCAGCTAGGAAAACATCCAGAATTGGCACCTGGAATGTTAGAACTCTCTATGATATAGGGAGAACAATGGAAGTAGCAAAGGAAATAAAACATTACAGAATTAGTATTTTAGGGTTATGTGAAACTAGATGGACTGGGACAGGAAAGAAGTATTCTTAATTCAGGAGAAACTATTTTGTTCTCAGGACACACAGAGGAAAATTTGCAGCACAGTAAAGGAGTGGCCTTGATGCTTTCAAAAGAAGCAGACAGGGCACTAATAGAATGGGAAGCTGTACAGACATTCATTAACTGGTGCCTGTGCAGAAAAGAGGGAATAAAATGGTATGATAGAATAACTAATGTAGAACTTTAGGAGAGAACTAAACAGGCTCCAGTGGATCAGGAGGTGAGGAAAAGACGCTGGCGTTTGGTAGGGTACACACTGAGAAAACAGGAGAACAGCATAACTAGAATGTCTTTGCATTGGAACCCACAGGGGCATAGGAATAAAGGAAGGCAAAAAAACACATGGAGAAGAAAGCTGGAGAATGAGGTTAGAAAGATTGGGAGGACATGGGGAGAGCTCCATGCAATGGCGAAGGATAGAACGACTTGGCATGAGTTGGTTGAGGGCCTATGCTCCATTGGGGGATAGAAAGGCAGAAGAAGAAGAAAGAAGAACAAGCATGTTGTAAGAGTCGACTGATTAGGTATGTTTACTTCAAAGAGAGTTTGTCCACCTGAGAGGCAAGGAACCAACAGTCTGCATACAAGTAAGCCAGATCTGTAAAACAGATGTTCTGGAACAAAACTAAAATCCAGAAGTGGATGAAAACCAGAACTCTCTGCCGGAGTTTACAGCCGGTGAAAGCAAAGAAGAAGAAGTCTTTACTTTTGTTTGTTCAATTCAAGAAACTGATTTTCTGCTTGTACATTATCAGTGATTATCTTTCAGAACTCAAAGAGAATTTTACGGTCCAATGAAATCATTGTACCACCAGGCGGTTTGTTGGACACAGAGCTGGACTTATCATTTTCCCTACAGGTAAAACTAGAGCTCTTATTTTGTGATTATTCTTGGGATAAAATATTTCTTCTTCTTTTCTTCTGCTTATGCTGTTTATCACAGGGAGGAGTTAGATGTAGTTTCCTGTCTTTTGCTAGTTACACGGCTTTTTCTTATATCAGATTGGGTTTCTGTAGTATCTATTTTACTCACTTCATCAATGTTTTTCTTGGTAGGCCTCTTACCTTATAGCTTGCTGTTCTTATATTATATAGTGTACTCTAGGGCCGCTTTAGCACAGTCAATGAGAGGCTGACTTTCAAATCCAGCTGAGACTGTTCGAAACTGGGCGGTTTCCGGGGTTCACCCAGCCTCAAGTAAATGGGTACCAGAGTTAACACTCTGGGGTAAATGGAGGAACGTCGCAGTAGCTACGGAGTTTCTCCCGACCTTTTTTTTTTTTTCTCTTTTTCTCAGTATACTCTAGCTGCTGGCTGGTTTTGTGCTATTCGGACTAAACGATTCAATTTTTTTAATGTTATGTGAAATTATTTAGTGGTACTTTGTCTACCATTGTCCTTAGTGCTTCATTGGTGACTCCATCTCTTCATGTTTTTCCTGCCGCATTTCTTGTACATCTCACCTCAAAGGTTGTAATTTTGTGTTTCTTTGTCTTGGACTGTCAGTGCCTGGCATTGATAACATAAAGTTGGTGCGAATAGTGCATTTATCAGTGTTTTTTTTTTTTAAAAACACAATTGTCTGGAAATACAGAAAGATACCTACAAATATGTAGGTTACTAGGGATTCACTCTCCCACTGCCAAATGTTTACAGGGTCAGTCTGTCTTTTGCTTTCCACTTGGACTCTATATTATTGATTATGTTGATCCCCGTGTGGGTTCCGGGGCTCTATTATAGGGAAAACAAGAATAGACCCAAAAGCATGTCGTAAGAGTTAACTAACTGGGAGCTTTTTTTGAAGTCGGAGTGCATCTGCCTGTGAGGCAAGGAACTAGCAGTCTGCATACAAATGAGTCAGATCCGTAAATGGATGCACAGGCAACACTCAGGTTCTGGAACAGGACTGTGGTCCAAAAGTGGATGAACAACCAGAACTTTCTGCCAGAGTTTACAGCTGGTGGACACCAATAAGAAGAAGATTATGTTGAAAATACATTTCAGGACTAAAAGATGTATTATTTATGTTTTTTCTCCAAATGTGTTTCTCAGTATCCTCACTTCCTGAAGCGAGATGGCAACTGGTTGCACGTCATGCTGCAGAGAAGAAATAAGTACAAAAACAGAACCATCCTGGGCTTTAAAACTCTGGCGATTGGTCGGGTCAATATGTCTAAGGTAAAGTCAGCTTGTATGTCGAAGGTAAAGTCAGCTTGTATGTCTAAGGTAAAGTCAGCCTGTATATCTAAGGTAAAGTCAGCTTCCTTGGTCACATTTATTACTTCTTCTTATTCTTAATGTTCACCAACTTTTTACTCTTGTCAAAAAGTTCTGGTTGTTCATCCCCTTCTTCACTTCAGTCTTGTCCCACAACTTGAGTTTTCCATGCATATCCATTTTGCAGATATATTTGTATACAGATTGTTGGTTTCTTGCCTCTCAGGCAGATGCACTCTGACTTCAACGGAAACATCCCTGATTAGTTGACTTTTACGACAGGCTTGTTGGGAAAGCGGTGGGTCTAGTCTTTTTTCCCCCCACAATGACACCCCTTGTTCAGGTGTTTTGTCTGCTCCTGAACCGTAGGGGCTAGATTCTTTTTGCCTATTCTGTGCAGGTGTGGGGTAAAACCAATTTCCTCCCTGAAGATTGTAAAATGTTTGTTCCCTCCTGTTTAGTTTGTTTACATTGTCACTGTGGCCCCCATTTTGCCTTCTCCATTCCACCTCGAAGGGACTGCTTTAGGACAGCTTCTGTTTTTCTATTTATCTGTGGTGGATATGGTAGTGAAAGATTACTTACCGCTCTTGATAGCTCATCTGCTCTCTAATTACCTGGAAACTACAGTGAGCTGGTATCCACGATGGAATGACCAAGAGAGAATGATACTGAACAGATTGCCAGCATGGAAGAGCAACTATAGCCGAAATGATGGCTAGTAAATAATGTCAGACTGGTATTTTAAAGGAATTAACTGACCCCTTATATATTTTTAATGTTATGTTATCAGTATAAGAGATAGCGGCTTTTGAGCTGAAATGCTATAGATTCTCAGAATACCATGGTCAAAGAAGAAAAATACTGACATCCAGAGGCCAACCAGCATGAAATTGGGCATAGGTTATAAGTGACACTTTGGGTAGAAAAGTGCATGAGGCTGGAGAGCTGTCACAAGACTGAGCTTCTTTCAAGCAGACTGTAATGAGAGCTACATTCTGCAAGAGACCTGCTACATGACCTACCAGTATTACCAAAAAAAATGGGGATCTCTGTGGTGAAGTGGTCAAGCCGTTTGCCTCACGCTCTAAAGGTTCTGGGTTCATTTCATAGATGCATTGTTCAGTTCATTAGTGCAATATTTACAGACCCCTGGGAATTGTCGTTGAAACCAGGGTTCATGCTTTATGTGCTCTCTTGTCAGGCAGCTGGCTTTTCTACGGGGAGAGGCCGAGTTGTATAGAGTGCACACAGTGCATTGAAGTCAATCCTCTTGACTTGTAACTTTAACTCAGTACACAGCTCAACCTTTTTCTCTTTGTATTACAGGTGCTTCAATGTTCAATGGACAGAGAGCTAAATTTATATAGTGATGTGAAAGAACAGACGAACCCTGTTGCCTGCTTGGTGTTATTAGGGTTGACCAGCCAGCCGGTTGATCATGAAATTGGTGGTCACAGGAAGCATGCTTCTTCCGATGTTGGTAAGGCAGATGTATAATTTCTCTGCATTTAGTGTGGTTAGCTATATTGATGTATTACCTATATACCTATATTATTATCAAGACGCTTTCCATGTGATGTAGGTGATCGTGTTTCAGACCCAGGTGTAAGTCCTCTATAAGGTCATGGATTGTTTCTGTTGGGGGCAAAAGTAAAATCCTGACCCGCACAGTCGGTGGCAACAGCTCTAACCATGCGAGTCTAAATCCTCAGACCCAAAGACTCCCCTATCTACACCCCAAATGTGGTAGTAATTAGCAGTGTGTTCTTTTGGCAGATCATGTTTCTGTACATCTTATGCTCTCTAATAGAGTATCAGTTTATATGAAGACACCTTTGTGTGCCATAAGAAAAGTCTGTTACGAATCTTCTGTCTTTGACTTCTGGAAATAAAGGCAACTGGCCTGATGTTGATTGAGTGCCAATGGATCAGTAACAAGTATGGGTCTGGCACCATCTGCCTAATGGACCAATGGTGTGAAAAAGGTTCTTTTTTTTTTCATACCATTTGTCGGCAAGCCATGATGGCATGGGAGTGATATTCATTACCAAACACAGACATTACTTTTCTAGAAAGTTAAGCAGTTAGAAATTCAATATATTTGTCAGCAGATCACAACACTCTTTTAACACATAAAACATAACTTTTTCTTTTATAAAACACTTTTATAAAAATCATGCTGGATTGTAAAGTCGAAGGTAAAAAAAGCAAAAGGCAGACAGTGATACAAAGGGGAGGACAGCATCAATAGATGGATGAACAGCAGCGTGAGAGAGTACACCCAGAGCAAAAGACAGAATATCTTAAAGAAGTACATCCAGAGCAAAAGACATAGTGTTTTGAAGATCCATTCCCGTCATCCTCAGTATGGAGATGACACCTGAATGCTTAAATGCAGTTAGTCTGAATATATGAGAAAGAATAAAAGATAATAGTTTTTTGATGTATGAAAAGGTGTGTGGATTGTCTGTCTCTGATGCCTCACCTTCTTGACTGTCTTGATTTTCAGATCGCTCACCTGACATTGACAATGACAGTGATGATGATGATGGACCAGAGTACAATGACTATTCATCCAATGATGACATGAGCGACAGTGAACCAACCATGACAGAACATGAAGTACGAGCCAGGCAAAGAAAGCATAGCAGATCCAAGAATCGTCCAGTCGTTGGGGTGAGTATATATATACCTTGAAGCTTTCATCTTTTCCATTAGTTTTGTGATAAAGTAGATTAATCGTTGTCACATCTTGTACTAGATCCTTGACTCTTTCAGCCCATGAAAATATTTCAAAACGGAAATTTTATTCATATTTCATAAAAAAAATTCTTGGGTGAATATACCCCTTGAAGCTTGTATCGTCTCCATTATTTTTGTAATAGAGCGAATTTATCATCAGCATCCTCTTATAGCAAATCCATAATCGTTTTACCCAACGAGAATCTTTTTAAAAAATGACTTTTTGTCAAATTTTGTAAAAAAAAAAAAAAAAAAAAAAAATTATTATTCTCTGAAACTTTACAAAACTATAAGATAAAGCAGAGGAAATAGGAGTCTTGGGCAGTTGTTATTGATATCAAAGGAATCGAACCCCTGTAACTACTGTCTTGTATATCTGTTTTACCATCTATCTTTTCAGAGCGGTTAGACAGGGGGTCGGGAACTTGAGGATTTAGGCACACATGGCTAGTTCTGTTACCACGGACTGTGCAGGCTTGAATGTTTGATTTTGTCCCAAGACAGAAAGCTCCCATCACCTTACCTGGGGTTGAAGCCGGGTCTCCTGCATGTGAGCCCGATGTTGTAACCACTCGGCCAGCCGCTCCTCGGTAGCAGGGTTAAAAAATTATGCTCTCATCATACACTGCTGGAAAGATTCAGTACTTTGCTTTTTCTTTTGCCTCACGCTCATTCATGTCCAAGATCTTTTAATTTCCTGTGTCAGGGGATTGGCAAGAGTCAAGAGTGGCAGTTTCCAGAATGTTCATGATGGGATCAGCATTATGCAAAAGACCTGCTATATGATGATGAACGATATGACTGCAAATAAATCAAATGTCAAGATGTGTATCACTAAACATTTTGATGTATTTAGTGGATTTAACATATCATGAGTATGTTATTGCATATAAACAAACATAGAAATTACAGCTGTCGGTGGTCATGTCAGCGGAAGAAGTTATAACTGAGATGTTTACCATTTCTTCTCGAAGGTTTGTTTGAAATGTAAGTAAACTACTATTTGGTATAGATTGACTGGATATCTCTATAAGTTTATGTGTGTTTAATTTGTTTTCCCCAGCAAAGGAATATTAAACAGAAAATTAGAGCCCTGTTAAAGAGATTCAAGGTTTCAGAAGATGTAAGTGAACATTTGTTGTTGTTGTAATCCATCCTGCGGCGCATGAGCTTTTGCCCTTTGGCCCAATGTCATGTAGTGGAATTTGCATGTTTTCACAAGCTGTTTTTTTTCCTCTTTTCCACTTGTCTGGTTTTGGAGGGAGTAGCATTTCTCTAGTCTAGCTGAGTTTTGTACACTCAAAGAGATGGTGGTCAACAGTTTCATAGGAGGTAATTACGTAGCTAGCACTCTGGGGAGTGTTTTGGCTGTATTCTGTTTAGATGTCCTTTGAGTGGAGTATGTTATGTTCTGAGTCTGAAAAGAGAACATTTCAATCATTAATTTTAAAATCATTTGTCTCCTTTGTTGTTTTCAGTAGTAAATATATTCTTCTCTTCGGTAGCTTCTACACTAGTAAATAATGAAAGGTCTCTCTTTTAGGATGGTAAAAGGGTAGTATGTTTGAATTTATTTCAAGGCAAGTTTAAAAACAAATTTATTTAGACACCCAGGTCAGACCAGCTTTAAATGGCTAACAGTAAATGTTCTGGCCAGTAAAAGTTGCTCATGTTGTTTTGACCTCATCACCTGTAGAGTCTCAGTTGGTGTTCTCAAATATGGTAAAAGTGAAGGGCACTTTTCCACGCCTTCAGGCGTACTGGGTATATAGGGCTAGACCTGTATTTTATAGACAAAATGGCACTTGGTGGATGATGTGGTCAGTATCGTGCCGGCCGCCTTTATTTTCCAGGAATGTACCTGGTACCCACTCAAGGCTGGGTTGACCTGTGAGCCAAGGTAATTTAAAAAAAAAATAAAGTCCGGTCCCCATCGGGACCCAAACCCACAACCTTCTGATTTGCAGAACATGGCGACTCCCCTTTACAAATATGGTGCCCTTTACAAATATGTTGCTTGCACTATTTACCCAGTATACTTCAAGCCATGACAGAACATCCATTACTTTGTCATTTGATTGTAAATGGGGTTATGAACTTCTTTGTTTGTGTAATCTCTGTTCTTTCTCCATCATATTTCACCTAATTTCTTGTCCTAATTGATTAATGGACACATTTCAGGTTCTCACCACATTGGACTCGGAGGCTGATCATGACCAGATTCCGAATCCTCAAGAGCTGGATGATTTGTTTGATGAACTGGAGGACTCCGATAGTGGACCAGAGCTGGATACCATCAGTGTGATGTCCACGCCCAAGCCTAAATTACGGTTAGCTTGTGTTTTATGATGAAGGTCTCCAGAATACTAGTCATTTTGCTACAGATTAGCCTTATGAAGTTTTTCTTTCTTTCTTTTGTTCATATTCTGCTTTTGGGCCACTAGATGTCACAGGTTAACATATGATTAGTGTCCTAGCTACGGCACACTTGATTGCCCGGTATGCTGTGATGTTGTATAGTCTCAAGGTATCAGTGACTCCTTCAGTCCATCTTTCTTCTTGGTTGTCTCCTACTTCTTGGTGTTTCTACTCTCGTTGCTCATACAATTTAAGGGTGCATATATATATATATAAAAACACACACACATATGGTTAACTTTTTTATAATAGGTTTTAACCAATAATATTGAGCATCTCTCTGCAGAGTGACTGGTTGCCACACTAAAAGACATCACACAACGCATGAATTTGTAGCTCCAGTGATGACCTCCTAGGGATCTTTAAAACATCTGCGCTTGTAGACAGTCTGAAACTAAACCTTTACATTCAGGCTGTGATCAATTTGAAACTGAACATTTACCTTCAGGCTGCGACCAAACACCTCAACCACTTTACCATGGAAATCCTACTCGTTGAGTAAATCTTTTAAGAAGACTTGGTCAAATTGTACTTTTCCTGTTTTGCACACATAATAAAAGTGTGATCATAACTTTAACTCATCAAAAATAAAGCTCTAAATTAAGACAACCAAAAGTTTAGATGTCTAGAATTTCAGTGCATGAGGTTGTCAATTTAAAACATAAAATTTTGTTGTTGGGATGATTAAGAACTGCTTGATGGAATAACAGTGTCAGAGATATTTCTAAAAAGAAGGAATCATACCAGAAGTGGATTAAATCCAAATTGGAACAAGATTATGTTAAATTCAAATTGATAAGAAGAAATGCAAAACAAAATATCAACTGTCTAAAAATGAATCATGGAAAAAGCAGATGGCCACACTTAGTACAAGTTTTCCCTAGAGAATTATACAAACAGGTTAAAATAAATAGGAGAACAAGGGATGAATGCTACAACTCAACTCAACATTATAAACAAACAAGAGAGGCAGTCCTGTACTTAATCCAAATCAAAGGCTAGCAAGAGGGGCAGAATATTTTAAAGAGCTTCTCAGCCATGAAAATGAGGAAGATAACATCAGTTTTGGGCCTAAAAGCAGTGAACAACATGATCCAAACCTTTTAACATCAGAAGTAAAACCTTTCATACAGAAGAGCCCTAAAACAAAACACCTGGCTTAAATGGAGTAACTAATGTGGTCAAACTGGCATCAAATGGCTAATAAGAATTTTAATCACAGCATGGGAAGAAGTAAAAGTTCAAAAGCAGGCATTGATAATACCAGTTTGGAAAAGAAAGGTAATGCAAGAGACTCCATCATGCAAAGGTATATCACCCTTGAGCCACATAGGAAAAACGTGTGAAAAGTTATTAGAACAGAGAGCTAGACCTACAGCGGAACAGTGCCTAAAGACATCACAGTTAGGTTTCAGGAAAGGACAAAGGTTGCACAGGTTGTATTGAATATGACGATAACCTGAATATTGTGTTTGTAGATCAAGAAAAAGGCTTTCAATAGAGTAGACAGAAACTATCGGCTGTTCTTGAGGAATATGAGATACAAGGACAAGTGCTAAATAACATCATGGCCATGTACCACACTTCCCAAAGAGCATTGAGAACACAAGATGGCATATCTGATATGTTTACAATCAATACAGAGGGGGGGGGGGGGGCAGGGATGTGTGCCCTCTCCTCTCATATTTAGTATATACCGGCAGAATATAAAATAAAGTAAAAAAGCCAGCTTTAAAGCAGTCGACCCAGAACATTTGGAACTTTACCTTCTTAGGGAAGAATTAGATCCACACACAATAAACAAGCTACTATTTTCAGACAATCAGTGCCTGTTCTACAGTGAGGGGACTAGACTGCAAGAACATTTGAATAGGCTAAGTTGAACATGCAGAAGACACAACATGAAAATAAATACTCCTAAAACTGAAGGTCAGCAGAATTCCTAGTCCGCTACTTATCGGGTTGAATGGTACTTGTCAGAACTAAGTTTAAGAATTTAAATATCCAGGAATTCTCGGAGGATGTGAGAATAAATAGGGAAATAGAAACAAGGATGCCAATGAGCAAGTGCACTTATGTACCAACTAACAACGTATTAAGACATCCAAACATAAGTATGAGCACCAAGAAACAGATTATAAACAGTATATTTATACCAACACTGTGCTACCAGTGTCAGACTTGGACATTATCAAAGTCTAACCTACATAAAATTAACACCTGTGAAATGAGATGCCTGAGAAGAGCCGCCAACTTCCATCTGAAACAAAGTTAGAAATTTTATTATCAGACTGACTGTAGGAACAACACCGTGCAGCAGATTCTTTGAGATTCATTTCGTAAGAGTACTGCCAGAACAACTACCAATGCAGCTCTACACAAGATCTAAAGTGAAAGCAAGAGGCCCCCCTAAGAGAGGATAGACTGATGACATAAAAAGCTTCTACATCAATACGGAATGACAACAGCCATTGCTGCCCATCAAGCAGTGGATCATAAAATGTTCCTCCCCACAACGCTTAATGGTAAAAGTGGAAGTTGAATGATGATGATTTTTCTTGAGATATTTGAAAAGTGTTGATGGGTGATTTACGGCTGATTTTTCATTCCATTTCCAAGTATGATCTTCTTGGCACATATGGCTATTAACTGTTTCTTTCCTACTTGAAATAATTCTATCTGGAGTGGTTGTTACTTCAAATTAATTAACTCTGGATCTTAAAGGATAATAACCTCATTCAGTAACCGCAATCCATACGTTAAGGTAGAGGCAGGGATAGACCCACTGCCCCTCTAACAGTCATGACGTAAAAGGTGACTAATTAGGGCATGTTCTATGATGTCTGAGGCGAGGAATCAACAGTCTGCAGATAAATAAGCATGATCTGTAAAATGAATGTGCATGCAAAACTCGAGTTATGGAACTAGACTAGAAATCCGGCAGTCGACCAACAACCAGAACCTTCTTGTCAAAGTTTACAGCTGGTGAAATGTCCTTTCATATTTATTACCTTCTCATTTTCTACATTTCCCAGCTTTTTGTATGTGTGTGTAACCTGAAGTCACAGACGGAAAAATAAGTAAAAGTTCAAAATAACATAACAAGATGTTACTTATTTTCCCATATTTTTACTTTCAGGCCTTTTTTTACTGGAAGAAGTACAACTCTAGAGGTTCCAGAGCAAACCAGAACACCACAGGTATGTTTGGATGTAGAGGTGTAATTTAAGAAATCTTCAGTAGATTCCAGGATGCAGAGGTGAATTACCTGTGGTGGTGCACCATGACCAGAGACTGGTCAAGACCATCTACCCCTCCGGTAGTTCCCTTTGATGGGGGGGGGGGGGGTCCTGGTCACTACACATGGGATCAACATTTTCTTCCAAGTCTTGGCACATCTGCCTAATAGGCACGGAACTAACAGTCTGCACAAAAAGTCAGATTTATAAAATGGATGTGCACGCAGCACTCATGTCTTAAAACAAATATCAAATTTTTCAGTTTGAATAAGTTTTAAGAAATACAGCTGTAAGAAATAATGTTGAATTAACATCACAGCACTCGGGACACTCCCATAAGTGCTCTGTCTTTATCTTCAGCAGCGAGCGATGAGTTCCAATTCTGATGACACCAGTAACTGTCTGATCCTATATCCGCCTCGCTTTTTCCTTGAGTGTTGAGCTTGCAGCTCTTTAGCGACCTGAGTATGGTTCAGCCAGTCTGTTGCAAATCGGTTTTGATTGGAAAAAACATAATTCTTGACAGGGTCTTGAAAAGAAATTTGGCTCTAACAATATTGTAATCATCCTGCAGCTGATTTTTGGCTCTAAATAGTAGTTAAGACCACTGCCCTTGAGTAACTTGCAGTGCCATTCTCCTCAGACCCTTATGGTCTGTCTGTGCCTTCTCCCTGTTCACTTGCTCCCCGAGGGCTCTCACAACATCTAGCTTGTCATACAACAGTTCACCACCAAGTTTTGCAGAACCAGCCGTCTATCTGCCTGCTTATTCCCCAACACACTGGCATGCTCCCTGGAGAAAATATCCAAAGGACACCAGATACCCAGCATCTCTGAAGCGATACTTCCCACTCTGCACGGAGAATGCCTGGGAGTCGACATGGCCGAGCGGCTAGACGCTCGCCGCGGATCGGAAGATCATGGGTTCGCTACCTGGCTGAGCCAGACTTTTAAAAAAAATTACCTTGGCTCCTAGGTCGACCCAGCCTTGAGTGGGTACCGAGTGCAGTCCCGGAAAGTGAAGGCAGCCGGCGTGGTGCTGACCACATCACCCATCTTGTGCAGATTGGTCTATAAAAATATAGCTCTAGCCGTATATGCTCTATACGCCTAATGGCACAAAAAGGGGTCCTTTACTTTTACTAACGGAGAATGCCTGTCTCCATCTTTCTCAATATGCTGTGTGAGTCAGTGTCAATTATTATGTGTGTACAGCTGATTTTAAAGCCAGTGGAAGGCAGCAATGACTGCCTCCACCTCCATTCTCAAACGTGATGTTGTGATTTCAAATGCCAGGCTTTGTTGCACTGACGTCCATTCACTTTTGCATGCACTTCGTCTGCCACTTAACACTGAGCCATCTGTATAGATAATCACATTTCCTGGACAGGAATTGTCAGGGACCTCTGATTCTGCAGCACTAGCTGGCCAGTCTATGCACTCATGACCTAAAGTGATTAGAACCTGACACAAGTTTGACCCACTCCTCTCCAGAGAGCACGATAAAATAGCCACCTTCTCTGAGCTGATGACAGCACACATCTCTGCACACCAGTTCAGTCACTTTGTCTACTGTTGCCTGTAGCTCATGGGCTGTCTGTTGCCGGTCACTTCCCTGCCCATATACAAGAACATCATCTGCAAATGCTAGTATCCTAATACCTGGTGCTTCAAATTCTGCAG